GATAAGATAATAAGACTATGATAAGACATCATAATTAAGCATAATCAGCTCATGCATATTTATACATGTGAACTTACAGTTATTTTGCGAGAGATAGTTCCTACTTGCTGAGCGAAAGCTCAATCAGATATGTTTATGCTGTAGGTAAGAAACCTATAAGCAATTCTTGAAGGGTGGTGGCGAGCGGCGGGCGAATGGTGGAGATAGGAATGGATACTGCTCACAGTTAAATCTTCTGCAGCAAGTTAAAGTAAAATCATGTATATGTATATATGATTCAAAGGTTTCAAGCATGTATGTTTAAAAAGTATATCTACATATGTATGTTAAGAGAACTGAGGTTGTAGCTAACAACCCTAGTATTGAGTTCTTAAGATTTAGAACGTTGCAATAGTGCATGCAACAAATAAACGAATTTTAAACATGACGGTTTAAATGATTGATTTTGAAAGGACTTTAAGAAGTACTTGAATTTAAGATTTCTCACGAAATTCGTTTTAAGGTCAAATTAGATGGCCCGAATGTATTGACTAGTTTTAGAAAGACTTTTAAAGAGTATGTGAAACAAGAATTCAAATGTCACTCAGTTCGAAAGATATTTTTAGAAGATTTTATCTTAACTAAATTAAGAAAAGCTTTAAGTAATTTAGTGATTCATTCTTTTGAAATTATTGTTACGAATTATGAAAGTATTCCTTCTTATGTTTAAAAAAAAAAAATGTTCCGCAAATTTTAAGAAACCCCAGTAAGTACAAGCTAAAGTTAAACTACAGTGGCGGCCTCATAGGAGGGTTGTCACAATAGGAGTCAACGTGTGAGCCAAAAGACCTAGCAAACTTAGCAAACTCAAAGGGGTGTTATTCCTAGTCAAGATAGACTCCCACAGTTCACACTCTTCTATCAGCCCCAGTTGCCTATCCAGATATCAACTCCTCCTGCATCGACCTTGCGTCCGCCGAACTACACCTATTTTTGGCCACAGGCTTCGGGATTGGTACAATCTACTCCATCACAATATAGGTCAGGAAACCAGAGACCCTATAACAATGGTAAAGGAAAAGGGAAAACTCAGGGACAGATCCATACCAGGGTCGGAGGAAATTTTGGAGCTCATGCCGGAAACCCAGTTGTTGAGCATATGATACTCATCTCACACTCTTTCGCCCGAGTCTTATTCGACACTGGTGCTACACACTCGTTTATTTCCACTTCTTTTGTGAAAGTTTTGGGTTTGAAACCCGAGGACCTAGAGACTTCAATGTTCATGAACTCTCCACTGGGATGTGTGGAAATGACTAGCATATGTCAGTCGTGTGTAATCACAATTGGAAGTGAGAAATTAAGGGCAGAATTGAATGTCCTTCCTATGAACTTGTTTGATGTAGTGCTTGGAATGAATTGGTTGTCAAGATACGAGGCGATTGTTGATTGCCACCGTATGAGATTTACCTTGACTACCGGTACTAGCACGATAGTAACATATCAAGGAGGTGTTAACCCGATTACGGAGGAATGGCTATTGAAGCATAGTGTCAGAGGACGGCGGAACTTAGCTTCTTTTCTTTTCACATTAGACGGTGAATCTGGCATCGCTGGGAAGAATGTTGAGGTCCTCGTGGTTGATGAGTATACGGATGTATTCCCTGATGAGTTGCCTAGTTTACCACCCGACTGAGAAATCGAATTTTGCATCAATTTACCTCCAAAGACGACTCTGATTTCTATCGCTCCGTACTGAATGGCACCCGCAGAGATGAAAGAGCTAAAGAAGTAACTCGGCGACTTAGCAGAAAAGGGATTCATTAGGAACAACACTTCCCCATAGGGTGCGCCTGTCCTGTTCGCGAAGAAGCACGACGGATCCCTTCAGTTATGTATCAACTATCGATAATTGAATAATGTTTTCGTGAAGAATAAGTACCCATTGTCGAGAATCGATGAGTTGTTCGATCAGTTGGGAGGATCACAGTATTACTCTAAGATCGACTTGAGATCCATGTATTATCAGTTGAAGATTAGGGAAGAGGATATTCTGAAAACAGCTTTCAGAACTCGCTATGGGCATTTTGAGTTTCTAGTAATGCCTTTTGGATTAACGAATGCTCCCATCACTTTCATGGATTTGATGAATCGAGTCTTCCGCCCATATCTGGATCAGTTTGTGATAGTGTTCATTGACGACATTCTGGTTTACTCGAAGACTTGGGAGGAGCATAAGCAGCATCTGAGGATCGTTCTCCAGACTCTTCATGAACACCAGCTTTATACGAAGAAGGAGAAATGTGATTTCTCGTTGACAGAAGTCAAGTTCCTTGGACATGTTATATCTGAACAAAGAATTTTAGTGGATCCTTCAAAGATCAAAACAGTGCTACAATGGAAAAGGCCAAAGAATGTAGCTGAAATCTGGAGTTTCCTAGGACTTGCAGGATACTATCGGCACTTTGTGAAGGACTTCTCGAGTATTGCTGCCCCAATGACTCGGTTGACTAAAAAGGAAGTCATATTTGAATGGGATGCCGACTGTGAACATGCATTCCAAGAACTGAAGACCAGGCTGACCAGCGCACTAATCCTGACGATCCCAATTAGCGAGGAACTGTATGAAGTGTACTCAGACGCATCAAGGCGAGGACTAGGGTGTGTTTTGATGCAAAAGGGATGTGTTTTGGCCTATGCATCTTGTCAACTGAAGCCACATGAGCAGAACTACCCCACACATGATCTAGAGTTAACAGCAGTGATCTTTACTCTCAAGATATGGATATGCTACCTTTATGGAGCAAAATTTCAGATCTTTTTTAACCACAAGAGTTTAAAGTATTTATTTACTCAGAAAGACCTGAACCTAAGGCAAAGAAGATTGATGGAGTATATGGAAGATTACAATTTCAACCTGCAGTACCATCTTGGAAAAGCCAACATGGTCGCGGATGCTCTCGGCAGGAAGACTTCGGGAATTCTCATGTCTCTAGCCTTAGAGGATTGGAAAAGGGTTGAAATAGTGGAGAATTATGATCTTCAATATTATAAAGACTGTAATCAAGCTATGGTGTACAGCTCAATTACAGCTCCATAACTTGTACAACGCGTTAAACGGAATCAATGGCAGGACCCACATCTTCAAGGGATCTGGATTCAAATTCAGAACGGGGAACATCTAGATGATTGGAATGTCTGAGAAGATGGAGCACTATACTTTAGGAACCACTTAGTTGTTCCTAAGATAGACGAGATAAAGAAGGCCGTTCTTGATGAACCTCACAGATCGTGATTTGCCATCCACCCAGGAAGTACAAAGATGTATCAAGACCTAAAACGACAATATTGTTGGAGATGTATGAAAAGAGACATTCGTGAATATGTTTCACAATGTGCAACCTATCTCAAGGTTAAAGCAAAACATCAAAAACCCGCTAGGGAATTACAACCTCTTCCTGTTCTGGGATGGAAGTGGGAACATATTATGATGGATTTTCTTATGGGATTGTCGAGGACCAAGCAAAGGCATGATGCCATATGGGTTGTTGTAGATAGGTTAACGAAGTCTGCGCACTTCATACCGTTTTATGCGACATATTCCAGAAAGGTCTTAGCAGAACTATATCTGGAACACATTGTTAGACTCCACGGAGTTCCGTTGTCCATAACATCAGACCGTGACACTCGTTTCAACGCCAGATATTGGAAAAGCTTTCAAGAAGCCATGGGAACGGAATTGAACTTCAGCACCACCTTTCATCCTCAAACAAATGGACAATTTGAGAGGGTCATCCATATTTTAGAGGATATGCTCCGTGCCTGCGTTTTAGACTTCAGTGGAAACTGGAAGAAGTATATCCATTTAGCTGAGTTCGCCTACAACAACAGTTATCAGGCTAGCATTGGAATGGCACCATTCGAAGCCTTGTATGGTAGATCTTGTAGATTGCCAGTCTGTTGGCTTGAGTTAGAAGATCGACTCACTTTTGGACCGGATGTTATCTAAGAAAATAAAGTTCCCTTATTTATTATCGGGCGAGGTATATATAAAATAAAATCCTTAAACCATTGCTACATTTGATACCCCAATATCTTACTTTTAACTTACTTATCATATTGACTAAGTTGTTAGTCCTTATTGTTCCTTTACTTATGCAAGAGATTTTCTCCCCTTTTTTTGACTCTTTAAAAGGATTACATTTCATATCCTCCATTAAGAGTTTGATTTATAATTTCGTGACTTCATAATATCTAATAATGATTCACACTTTGATTCTAAGGTTTCTTATCTTTCTTAAGCTATAATCCCGTTTATTAAGAGATTTCACCTACCCAAGTTAATCTCGTTGAGTAGATACGTAGATGAGCACAGTTGTTATTTTATTTGAGAATGACTATTCACGAGAATACTAAGTCACCACGAGTTGGGTTCTATGCATATCGATGACTGGGTAAAACTGTGTCATATGAAAAGTTTAGCCCTTTATTAGAGAATTTCATACTATTCTATTCTTCTTCTAATCACTTAATTCATATCACACATATTTGTTCGTGGTCACCCTAGTATCGTGTCAACTTAGCACATCTAATCCATGATTTTCTAATGGATAAGTTTATGACAGTGTATTGTCATACCTTACTTGCCTACTATATTGTGGGGTGACTTATTTTCTGTCAATCGATACCTTCACCGTAAAGGTAACTTTTACTTTTATCATCTTTACCTAATGGAATCTTAATTATTTTAGCAGATTTTAAACAAATCCGTAACTGTATTCTTCACTCATAAATAGGGGGAGAATACCTCCTCTTGAGGTTGTTGTAGAGGGATTGGTTTGGTTAGAAACTAACCTAGAACAACCTCCCTCAATATGTCTATGACTTTCAGTGTTCTTTTCTTATCACTTAAACTGCTATTTACATCTAAACTCATTGCATTAGTTCTTGTACCTATATCCAAATGAGATTCTCAACATCTTGAACCTCTTTGGCATTTGTCTTAACTTATAGTCTTTGTGAGTTACTTATCAACACATTTATACACATAAGTACTTTCTATGAGATCACTAAATATTTTAAGGCTATCAATCATTGTGTATTATATCTTAAGTGGGTCGCTTAACCTCTACCATAAGCTGGTATTACTTAATGTTGAAGCTCTATTTCCTATGTCGCATCTGGATATATATATATATATATATATATAGTCATAGAATGTGACCCACATCTAACTTGGCGGCGTTACATCGTCCATCTCCTGATTAGCGTCACCTTTATGCTACATATTAAGATCCTCTTTATGGGTCCAGGCTGAAAAACCACTACTAGCGATGCAGTCATACGGGCTTCCTTGAAGGGAGTCTCGGTAGCAGTCTCCTTTCAATTGTTGTACGTATAGTCCAGCAACGATCGTTAAAGGAGTAACCTCAAATGATTGCACTTCTCTATATATCGTCTTGTCAGCCCAAGGAATTACTACGCAATAAAATGCTGGGGCGGTTAGATTCGAATGGTCCCTGATAGTATGATCTTAATCGTGCGAACATATTAACCTTAGGCTGCTCGTTAAATAAGCGTCCGCGTTCATTGACTACTATAATCTACTTAACATAAACATACTTTAACTTACTTGGACTATGGCGAAGCAGATGCGTGACGACGTGGAGTAGGATGGCAGGATACCGGCTCTGATACCAACTGTGACGACCCTACTTAGAGGCCGCCACTGTAGCTGAATTTTTTAACTTGTACTTACTGGCATTTCTTAAAATTTACGGAACATTTTTTTTTTATATAAGAAAGAATAATTTCATAACTCGTAACAATAATTTCAAAAGAATGAATCACTAAATTTCTTAAAGCTTTTCTTAATTTCAATTAAGATAAAACCTTCTAGAAATATCTTTCAAACGGAGCAGCGTTTGAACTCTTGTTTCAAATACTCTTCAAAAGCCTTTCTAAAACTAGCCCATTCAATCGGGCCATTCAATTTGGCTTTAAAACGGATTTCGAGAGAAATCTTAAATTCAAGTACATTTTTAAAGTCCTTTTAAAATCAATCATTTAAATCGTCATGTTTAAAATTCGTTTATTTGTTGCATGCACTATTGCAACGTTCTAAAACTTAAATACTCAAAACTAGGGTTGTTAGCTACAACCTCAGTTTCCCTAACATACATATGTACATATACTTTTTAAACATACATGCTTGAAACCTTTGAATCATATAAACATATACATGGTTTTACTTAAACTTATTGCGGAAGATTTGAATGTTAGCAGTATCCATTCCCATCTCCATCATTTGTCCGCCGCTCACCATTGCCCTTCAAAAATTATTGATAGGTTTCTTACCTACAGCATGAACATATCTGATTGAGCTTTCGCTCTGCAAGTAGGAACTATATCTCGCAAAATAACTGTGAGTACACATGAATAAATATGCATGAGCTGATTATGCTTAATTATGATGTCTTATCATAGTCTTATTATCTTATCTTATCTTTCTTTATCTTTTCTTTCTTTCTTGTGGGCCCGAGTGCTAGCGTACCACTTGCGCGCAATCATCGGGACGTGAGGGTTTGCAAGGTCCCCCACAACACCGTGATTATAACTTGAATGCCTCCCTTGAGTCGGAGGACATTATTATTATTATTTTCTTTTCTCCCTTGAGTCGGAGCTTGAGTTACCTCC